TATTCTGGATATTAGTCTTTGAGGAATGGTTGGTAAAACTTTTTCCCATTCTATGAATTGTCTCTTTCTTTTACTGATAGTTTATTTTGCTTTGTAAAAGCTTTTTAATATGAGATCCCAGTTGTTGATTCTTTGTATTATTTCCTATGTAGTTGGGATTTTGTTCATAATGTCTTTGCCCATACCTCTATCTACAAGAGTTTTACCTATTTTATCTGCCGCCACTTTAAAGTGTTTGTGTTTTAATATTTAGATCTGTGATCCATTTTGATTTTACTTTAGTACATGGTGAGAGATATCAGTCTAGTTTTAATCTTTGGCCTGCAAAAAACCAGTTTTACCAGCAGCATTTATTAAAGAGGCCATTTTTCTTCCAGTTAAACTGTTTGGCCCCTTGGCCAAAGAGAAGGTGACTGAATACATTTTGAGTTACTTGTGCATCTTCTTCTTTGCTACATTGATCCTCAAGTCTGGTTGTCTGGGTTTTGTTTTGTTTTGTTGGTTTTCATCATGCTTTTTTAATGTTTTGATCACAGTAGCTTGGCAGTATATTTTCAAGCCAAGGATTTTGATGCTCCCTGCTGTGCCTTTGTTGCCCAGAATTTCTTTTGCTATTCATTGTTCCAAATGAATTTTAGGATTGGTTTCTTTAGTTCTATGAGGTGTGTTATTGGCGTTTTGACTGAGGTTGCATTACATCTGTGTAACAGCTTAGAAGTAGGATGATTTTCACTATATTGGTTCTACCTATTTAGGAACAAGGGACATATTTCCATTTGCTGGTATCTTCTTTGATCCCCTTTTTCAGAGTATTATATTTTTCACCTTTAAGATCCTTTACTTCCTTTGTTATATTCCTTCCTAAATATTTCATTTTCTTGATGCTATTGTAAAATGCTGTTTCCATGATAGTTTAACTATTTCTTACTCAGTTCATTATGTAAAGGAATGCTAGTGATTTGGAGTGTTGACTGTTTCTTTGCTATGTTGCTAAATTTAGGTTTTTATCAAGTTGAGATAAAGACTGTCTAGTCCAATTTTTCTATAGGGATTTTTAAAAATCATAAATGGGTGTTACACTTTGCCAAATGCTTCTAATTTTTTTTTAAATTTCAGTTGCATTAATCTTTACCCAGTTCTTTATAATTTCCCCTCTTATACACACTTTGGGTTTAACGTGGGTCTTCCTTTTCTAGAAGCTTGAGATTCAACCTAAGAATTCCCTGCTATAAATTTCTCTTGTAGGACTGCTTTCATTGAGTTGCATAAATTCTGACATGTTGTATTGGTATTACTAACTATAGAAACTATCTGATTTCTCCATAATTTCAATATTTATTTATTTATTTAGTTGTGCAGTGCTGGAGATTGAACTCAGGACCCTGTGCTTGCCAGGCAAGCGCTTATTCTACTGAGCTATCTCCCCAGCCCCTCAGCTGTTATTTAATTTCTATATATTTGTGTGTTTTTGAGGTATCCTGCCATTGATGTCCAGTGCCTTTGCACTATGATTTGATAGTATGCATGTTCTAATTTTATTCTTTTGCATGTTCTGTGAGCTAGTATGTGTTCTGTCTTGGAGGAAGTCTCATGTGAAGCTGAGAAGAATGTATACTCTATTGTCTGGTAGAACACTACAGACATCTACAAAGTTCATTTGGTCAAAACTCCACCACCAGAGCCCAGGATCAACCTGAACTTCTGTGCAGTTGAATGCACCAGAAGTGGCATCCTGCACTACTCCTAAGGCTGTGCAGCCTCCTACAGCGCTCTCAATATCTCTTCATGGACTGATCTCTGCTTCCCTTCCCTGGATGCCTTGTGTGGTTGTGCCTCACTCAGTCACTGGGACCTCTGAGATGAAGCCAACCCACCACTGCTCCAAATCCTTGGTTTGCTCGGTTGCTCCCTAAAATGGTGTCTGGCCAAGCTCTTTCCAGGGGATGCTTGGGCTGGAGGCCACCAGCTGTTGCAGCTCACGGCATACATTGCTCTGTTTCACTGGCGCCTTTTGAGCCACCCCCGCTCACTGTAGATTTCAGCCTCCTTTCTCATGCCTTGAGCCAGGGGTCAGGGCACTTTGCCACCTCCTTTTTCTGCTTACGGTCTCTTCACTTTCCCTGGTGGCTCCAGTTCTCTCTTTAGATGCTTCTGTGCTGGGAATATACCTCTCTGAGTCTTTTCTTCCCTAAATTGCTATATCTCAGTATCTGGATTCTGAATCTCAGACGGTCTGGTTTCCTGCTGTTTGTAGCTCTGCTGTCTTGCCAGTATTGCTGAGATTAGTCCTGACTTCCCCAAGGGCCACACTATGAGTCCATGGCAGGGCTGAACTTGGATTCAAGTGTCTGAGCTCACTGTTCAGGTGCATCAAGCACAGGAGTCCACTCTGAGAGTGTGTATTGCGGGGGATATTCTCAGTGGCACAGTGCCTGACTGGCAGGCACGAGGTCCTGAGTTTGATTCCCACTGCCCCAAAAAGGAGAGTATGTATTACATAGAATGGAGATAAGAGAAGGATAAAAGGTGAAAGACACAAGGTGGAAACTTCAGTTTTAGGCTCTGAGTTGCAGAATAGCTGAATAAAGTCACTATTGCAGACAAAATCTTAATAGTCTCCTGTACACAGTAGCTGCAGTGGTGTGATGGTTTCATTAAATGCCTGTGCTGGTGCCATGTTTGTACCCTGTAGTCTTCGGGCTGTCATTCTTTGTCTTGTCACCTCATGGTTGCAGAATGGCTGGTGCAACTTCACAGTAGCATCCCATGGAGGAGCAAAGTTGAATATATATATATATATATATCATATAATGGTTTTCTTAAAATGTGATTGAAACTTCCCAGAAGACTTCCTTCCACGTCCCATGCACTGGAAATGGGCCGCTTGCCCACTCTTTGCTGTGCGACAGGCGATGAAAGCTAGTTGCCAGCAGAGGGGAACTGAGTAGCTTTGATTGGCTAAGACTGATCATGCTTTAGATTTCAGGGCCTGAACTGAGGCAGTCAGCAGGGGAGGAGAAGGAGAAGGAACTGGCTGTTTCCTCAGCAACTCCCCTTGTCTGTCCACTGTCCATGAGGACTTTTGAGAAATTATTCGGGTCTGCACAGATGTTTCCTGGATCCCAAGGGCCACTCCATTTTCTTTAACTAAAAGTTACACTCTCCCATCTCAATGGCCAGATTCAAACTGAGTAAATAAATTTTTGTTCTGTGGTTCCCGAGTGTGTATGGAAATTCTAAGATGTAGATAAAATTTTGTCAGGTGCTTTTGTGTGACCAGACACAAAAAAAGGAGTCAGAAGTCAGACAGTGGAGAAATGCAGAGGACTAGGGGCTGGAGAGGAGCCGTAGGCTGTGCTGAGAGCCCCGGGGAAGGGGCTGGACTGCCAGGCCTCCTGGATTTGAACCTGGCTTTCACCCCTTCCTTACTTTGTGGTGTCTTTGAACAGCTCCATCACCCTTGCTCTGCATCAGTTTCCCCCCGAAAGAGGGTGGATGATTGGAAGAACTTACAGTGTGAGGCTGAGGTGATCCACAGTTCAGCCTGAGTCTGGGAAAGGCTAGCACTCCATAACGGCAAGCAGCTAATAGCAGTTATTGCCCTGCAGCTGCTTCTTGAGGTGGCATCTCTGCTTGTGAAGCTGAGTGCAGTCTATTTTCAGCTACAGCTGCAGTAGGCTCACCACAGTGAGTCCATAGCACATCCCAAGTTCATCCTAGGGCTCACTGCCTTCCTCCTCACAGCCTGCCCTGCACCTTGCTGTCCATAGCTGCAAAGGCCAAGCCCCACAGCCAGACAGTTCCCTTAGGGGCACCGAACTTTTCTGGCTAATAAAGGGAAATGCCATGATTTTTTCATTGAACAAATCATTTGTGGGCCCCTACTGTAGGTGCAGTCTTATACCTGCTGCAGGGAATTTGCTGAAGGACCTGGCATGGGCTCTAAGAAAGTATATCCACCTGCACTAAGGATGCCAGGTGATAGGAAATATGTTGAACCTAGTTTCCACCCTGCACCAAAGTCATCTTCTCAGAGGAGTTAGAAGCAGCTGACCTAGAGGATACCCAGGAGTCAGCCAGGGAGCAGAGAGGTGAAAGGGAAAGGATGAGCCATCTCCATGGATAGGAATGGACTTAGGGTTGAGTAGAGCATGTTTTGGGAGAACTTAGGGTTGAGTACAGCATGTTTTGGGGGAGAGCTGATGAGGGAAAATGCTAGTGTGGTCATCCGGCCTGGGTCTGCACATCCCTGGGAAGGCTTATGTGCCCAATAGTGGGAAACTAAGTAGGGTTGACAAGAAGTCACACAATCAGGTTTGTGTTGGAAGATCAGCTTGGCTATGATGTGGAGACTCAGGTTCAATGAGGGAGATAAAGATAGGAGCTCTTGAAGTTCTGCCCTCTGCTTGGGACTTCTAGACACAATTAAAGGGTTATACTTTCAGTAGTCAGCATCGAAAGATGGGAAGCAGATGTTGGCAAATCATAGTTGATGCCATCACTGTACACGAGCAGCTCCATGACCCATGTCCTGCCCTTCCAGAGCGCCTAGAAGGCATGAAGGTCTGTCCCTTGCTTCATCTGGTCCCCACTCCTGTGTGGCCCACACATTTCCTTCAGTTCTCTGAAACCAGAGACAGCAGCTCAAGTTGCTCTGAGATGCTCTGCAGGCCCAGCTGCTCGCTGGGTCACACCCACAGAGCTTTCAGCATTTTGGGCCACTCTTGAAGGATAATCAGGGAACAGTGTGACCTGGAACACTGGTTTACTCAAGCATATTCTGTAGAAGGTTTTCTCCCAAAGGAGAAAAGAATAAAGTCTACCTTCACCACTTAATTATTATTTTCTATGGGAGTACCTATGGGAAAAGTCACTTCATATGGACATATTTGGCCTGTAATTGTGCTTATTTTGTGTGTTCATGTATTCTTTGATTATTAATTACTCCTATTTTAGTCTTTAATTAAATATTTCCTCTTGGCTGTTTCTTCCTTTTGTAGTATAATGAGGAACTGCACTACGTTGAACCTTGCCTGAATGGAACGCTGGTGCAAGCTGACAGGACAAACAAAGAGGTAGGGGCTCCCACAGGGCAGGGCCACAGGCTGTGGCATATGATGTCTCCTTCACAGTGATGTTTACGGTATGTCTGTCTGTATTGCACAACCCCATAATATGTGGTGTCTGATCATTGTGGCTCTTGGAGCACCGGGGTGTATCATCACATGAAGAGATACAAATCCGATCATAACACTGGAATGATTACCTCAAGTTGAGAGACTTACCAATTCTGAAATAGTTGCACATATTATTTCCTTCTTTCTGTAACTGTGTCCTCTATGTGCTCAACACCTATGTTGGCATAATTGAAACAGCACGGTTCTTGCTGAGATTTCAAAGGACATTTAACCCGCTCATGTTTCCCCGTTTGTACTTGTAATTGATTAAAAATCTTAGGGATTTCTGTTGGGGTTACTTGTCATGATTAGAAGGTAAGTGTTACACAGATAGGAGAGATGTTTGCTTCGTATCAAATTTTCGATGTTCTAAGAGTTGTCTGTTTTATAAATCTTGTAGAACAAAAGAGGAATCTTAATATTAATGGAGCACCTTAGGAAATGGGACAGAAGTTTCTTCTACATGTAGAACATTCCAGAATAATTCTAAAACAGACTTCTATGAAATAAGTTCTGATTTTCTTTGTTCACCTTTAAATTTATCAATACGATTAGCACAGTTCCAATCTATACTACAGATAGGACCGGATAACAGTTCAGGAGGGTGGTCTTGTTGCAGCTGTAACCCAGTCATACCTCATAGGGTTCATGGCTGCCACTACTCACACATGGGTTTTTTTGCTTTGGAGAGAAGACCCAAAGGAATAAATTCAGCAAGCTTCTGTGAGGCACTGCATGCCTTTCACAGGAGAACCCCTGTCCCAGTGTGGGCATGGCATTGGTACAAGATGCAGTTGGTGGACGCACTTATTTTGAGTGTCTCTGAGAGAGTGAAAAATAGTATTGGGAGAAGCTCACTCCAGTTGAAGCACAGAATAAGGGTTTATTTGTGAGCTTCAATTTTTTTTTTTTTTTTTTTTTTTTTTATGGGAAGACACTATAACAAGGTTCATTGTAAAAGCAAAAAATAAGGGCCATAGTGGTTCAGAGAACATAAGTATCCTGGGAATGTTCATTGGTGCTTTTGTTCTAGACTGAGGTAGGGAAAATGACTTATATCTTCTACTAATTTTCTCTAAGGACTCCCATTGTTTGGCTCTTGCGTAGATGAGGATTTTACCTCCTTTCTGATATTTAAATATTAGGCTCAGTTAGGGGTTCCATGGTGATGTTTCCAACATTAATCAGAAAAGATTCTTTTATTTTTATTTTATTTATTTATTTATTTATTTATTTATTTATTTTGCGGAACCGGGGATTGAACGCAGGCCCTTGCACTTGCCAGGGAAGCGCATATTCCACTGAGCCATCTCCCTGGCCCCCCAGAAAAGATTCTTAAATGATCAAATCCTTCCATAAAGTAACTTCCCAAAAGAACAGAGGGCTGGCTGGCTGTGTGATCCTCAAAGGGATGTAGTCTTAGGAATGAACGTAATTATTAAAGGAAGTGGGCTAAGAATATATTTAAAGTCATCATTGAGTTTATAGATATTGAACAGCTGCGTGTCACTCAGGTCCTCTTTTTTACAGAAATAAAACCCAGACATAGCACAGTAGACACCGAAGGAATACTATGAAAGGTGGAAAGGAGAAGGTGAACCCTATAGGAGCCTCAGGACTTAGCAGGGTTGTGGGTTTTATAGTATTCCAAAGCTTCCTACCTTGTTCAGCAGACACACACACACACACACACACACACACACACACTGCTGTTCCCACAGAAGGACCACATGAAACCTTGTGGGAGTGCCCTCTGTACTCTAGGCCATGCCAGCAAATAAGAATAGACCAGCTCTGTGTTTTCTGTGGTATGAAAGAGGAAGTGGGCCTTCTTTGTGGCCACCTGTGCCCATTTACTTGGCCTGATGTCACACTTCTGACTACTAAATTAAAAAAAAAATACTAAACAGTTTCCTGAGTTCAAAAATATAAAATCCATAATGCACAAAATGCAATTTAAAAGATCATTTTTTTACCCCTAGAACCAGGAAAATTCTAACATAAATGAATAAAGCACAACAAAAGCCCATATTGACATGAACCGAATGTTTGGAATTACAAAATTTCTTTGAGAAGCAATTAGCAATTGGCTTGAAGCAAGTGGAAAAAAAAAAAGATAGCTAAACAAAGAAATAAAAGATACAAAATAGAATTGAGTGGAAAGTATAGAACCATAAAGTTCAACCAGCAAAATAAAAGGCCCACTGGATCAGCTCAGTTGTAGAATGAAGATAATGGTGAATAGCGTAAATAAAGTTCAGGAAAGGCCAGTGGAAATAATCCAACCTGAGTGACGGACTAAAACACTGTACAAAATAAACAGTCTGAGAAATATGTGAGAGGCTAGCAGTAGCAATACCATTCATAACATCAGAGCCATAGGAAAGGAGAAAAGAGGGACTGAATAAATATTTAAAGTTATATTGGCTCAGAGCTCCTGTAAGTTGGTGAAAGGCATAAACCTACATATTAAAGAGGTTGAGAAATTTCCAAATAGGATAAACTCAAGTAAATCCATTCCAAGACACATTATAGATATAATGACACAAAAGTCTTGAAAGACACTAAAGAGAAAGAACACATTGCTTGTATGAAAAATCAAGGTGAATGATAGCAGATTTCTCTATGAAATCATGAAGACCAGAGGGAAGTAGCATAGCATTTTTGAAGTACTGAAAGAGAAGAATTGTCTACCTATGATACTATATCCAGTAAAAGTAACCTTCAGGACTGAAGAAGAATTAAATATGTCCTGAAAATAAGAAACATTATGAATTTGTTGCCATATATCCTTAAAGTGTATGTAAATTAAATTCTCTAAATAGAAAGGAGATTAGAGAAGATGGCTTGTAACTTGAGGAAGGAAAGATGAACATTGGAGTACATAAAAAGTGTGGATTCTTAAATCATTTAGTCTTAGAAGCAAAAATTATTACACTGTCTGATGTATTTCAAAGTTTGGTATGGAAATACTTAAGATTCTCATATTTAAAAACAGTGGATGACAAAGCAACAAAATAGAAGTAAAATTTCTACCTGTCACTGGAATTGATAGATGTCAATACCAGTAGACTGTGATGAATTACATATTTACTTTGCAATTCCTAGAGCAATCACTAAGCAAATAATACAAAAATGTATGTTTAAGGAATAACTCATAGAGAAGTCAGAAGAGAAAAATATAGTATGAACAAGAAAGAATAAATTGGCACATATAAACTGAAACACACCATTAGTTATCTTAAATGTAAAGAGTCAACATACACCAGTGAAAAGACAGAGATCAGTTGGGTAGATTAAACGAACATGATTGAATCATATGTTCAGTGTAGGAATTTCCCATGAAATGCAATGACATGCATATGTTGAAGGATGAGAAAACATGCCTTATAAGTATTATTTATTTAAGAAAAAGGAGAGGTACCTATAATAATACCAGAGTCTTCTTCAGAACAAAGAAAATTGTGAAGAAAAGGGACACTAGATAACAATATGAGAATCAATTTCTTAGAGAGACAGAGGAAACTTAAATATTGTTTTAACCAAAATATACATCTGCTAAATATATAATGTATAAACTAATATGAGGGTAGAAATGGACAAATATGCAAGTATAGGGGATGATTTGTGCATTCCAGAAAGCATTTTGTGGAGGACTAGACAGAGTCAATGAAGATATAGAACTGAACAATAACATTGGCCTCTGGGATCCAAATAAAACTTAAAGAACAGTCTGCCCAACAATAGCAGACACACATTCCTATAAAGCATCTATGGAACACTCAGCAAGATGAAATATATTTTGGGGCATAACACAAACCACAAAAAATTAAAAGACCTGAAAGTATACAGAGTATCTATTCTGATAATGGAATCAAAGGGAAAAACAAAAGGCAGAAATGTGTCTACATGCTTAGAAATTTAGTAATACATTGTTATTAAATAATTAATGTGTAAAAGAGGAACTTTTAAACCACATGGTAAGATTGTAAAACTAAATGAGAACCAAAAGACAGCATATCAAAATTTGTGGGACAAGGCGTAACGGTATTGAGGTAGAGGTTTATAGCACTAAATGCTTACATTAAAAAGAAGATTCTCAAATTAATAATACATATTCCAACTTTGAGGAATGAGAGAAAAAAGGAGAGCAAAATAAAGCTAAAGCAAGCAAACAGAGGGAGCAATAAAGAGTAGATATCAACTGATTTTGTTGTTGTTGTTGTTGTACTTGGAATTGAACTCAAGACCTTGCACTTGCCAGGCAGGTGCTTATGCCACTGAGCTATCTCTAGCCCTATATCAACTAAATTTAAAAAGGAAAATAGCAAAAATCAATCACATCAAAACTGGTTCATTAAAAAAAATCAGTAAAACTAATGAAAATAAAAATGAAAAAGATAAATAACACATATTAGCAATTAAACAAAGGGTAGTAGTATTGACCCAGAAGCCTTTAAAGAGATATTAAGGGCAAAAATGGTAAGGGAATACTATTTTTAAAAACACACCCAAGAATTCAACAACTTAGAAAAATGATCCAAATTCTCAAAACCCACAAACTACCAAACTGCAACCAAAATGAAATAGATATGGGAAGTAAACCTCTAACTATGAAAACAAATTTAATCCCCTTCCCCCTGATTTCCAGGCATAGATGCTTTAACTGCAGATTTCTACAAAACATTTAAAGCAGAATTAATACCAGCTTTGTTCAGTGTCTTCCACAAAAATAGGGCTCATTTTATAAGGCTATTATTTCTCTCATAAAACTGAAATCGATACAGAAAAAGAAAAGCACTGACTAATGTTCCTTATGAACTTATATACAAAAATCCTTAACAAAATTTTAGCACATCAAATCTAAGAATATATGTACAAAATAACTCACACCACCA